ATTTCAGCTTATTGGTGTAAAGGTAGTTTTTTTTCGTTTCTATTATTTCTAATGTGTCATCTACCTTATCCTTTAAGAAAAATATATTTTTAATTTTACAAATAAATGGTCAAACATTTACCYCCAGAATTTACTTTTAGTTCAATATAAAACGTTGAAAAGAATCCATTTAACTTTGAACAACTTTCGGGATCGATTTTCCACTGAATAAATACCGAGTCRTTCGTCACATACATTGGGTGTTCAAGGTCAAAAACAGGTTGAGTTTTTGGATCTAATCAGAAAAAATGCAGAAATCAGTCATCAAAATATGAATATACAAAATAGGTTTCATTAAACTTTACTTGATGCCGGCGTTAATGCGTAAACCTGAGTTTCTCGTTGAGTATGTTTCTCATCATTAGCAACTGCAACTTGTATGCAGTACTGCGAATTAGGTATSGTTTCGAATATTTCGTAGTTTGTTCGATTGTAAATTGTAGTTGACGTCCAATCGTTTTCTATTTCATCCAAAGAACAACTGATAATTCGTTTTAGCTGAAATAAATTTGAAGTAAATGTTATGAATGTTATGATAAAAATACAAACTAATATAAGTACCTATAGATAAGAAAAACAATTTTAATTACTTTGTATCTGACAATATATGTAAACGGCTCATTTACAACTATTGTATTGTGTTGGTTAACATTTTCTAATTTCCATGAGATTTTAATGTTATTATCAATCGTAGTTGCAACAATGTCTTTAATAATGACATCGTTTCCTATATTTAAAATATAATATTAAATCGATATTTATTCGATTCAGGCACGAATACAGAAAAAAATGTTTGGTAGTTATTCATAACCTAAAAATAATTTTCAAATAATCTCTTATACTGTYAAATCAAAAAAAAATATATTTTTGCAAGACATTTTCGGGGTGCAGAGTGAGAGGTTTTGTACCCAAAACTCTCCTGTATATGTGCCTATATAGTTTAATAAAAAACATTAAGTTACTTGTTATTAAAGGAGTAAATGAATAAGTAGGCGACGAAATTAATGGTCCTTTATTTGTCTTAGGAGTCAGAAATATGCTATAATTGTATCCAGGATAAAGATTTTCTATTAAGTGGCCACTTTTKGAACTTGATTTTATTTCTTTGATACCAACCATTTGATTTTGTGATTGGTTATAGGTTAATGTCAAAACATATTCAATTACATTGCATTCTAATTGTTTAGGTATTATCTGTAAATTAATAATGTTACTTATCTATTATTATATAACAGCTAATCAATAATCAATGATATTTTGGTTTGTAATTGTTTATTTTTAATTTACTTATTAATGCATATTAATAAATTATTTTTTCAATTAATTAAAACTAACAAGAAGTGTACTTACTTCATCCCATCGTATTTTGACGCTTTTTATCCCACTGATTAAATGAATGTTATAATCAGTAATATCAGGTTCTAAAAAAGTTGGACAATATTAACAAATGAAAAAAATAAAC